TACTGAGCACCTACTATGTGCCATCCCTTGTGCCTGGTTCTGGGGATCTTGCAGTCATGTGGGGTTTGGTCCCAGAGATCTTCTGGAGGAAGAGGCTTAAGCTCACCTTCAAAATATTCAGAGCCAGAATTGAACTCAGTCTAACCAAACCCCCATCTTACTCAACTTCTAATAAGATCAAAGCTGTCAGCCCTGGGGCAGCACAGGAAGCTGTGGCTAGGCTTCAAAATGGCTCCTGCCTCCAATTCATTCATCTACCATATCTCACTGGAATCTTCCTTGTGATCCACCCTAACTGGAAACACAAGAGAGAGAGTGAGAGAGAATTCTGAGAAATGTAGCACAGCCTGGCCAAGTTACAAAGCCATCACAACATACGTGCACAGAACTCCAAAAAACATGAAGCAAAATCTACAGAACTAAAGGGAGAATCATAATGATACATTTTAAACACTTGCCTCTTGGTAATTGATCAAATACACACAAGAAAGTCAGTAAGAATGTAAAAATTTTGAACAATACAACCAAACGACCTGAGCTGATTGACATTTATAGAACATGGTCTGCGTTCCAAACCCCAGAAGACGCGTTCTGCTCGTGTGCATGTGGACACATCCCTAAGACCAGATCTTGAGCTGGGTCACAAAACAAAACCCAATCAACTTTAAAAGATTAAAATCATGCAGATTATGTTTTTTTTGTTCATAATGAATTAAATTAGAAATGAAAGCAATACGTTTTTCAGAAAATCTCCACATAATTGGAATGTAAGCAGCACTCTTCCAAACAACCCATGGGTTGGAGAAGAAATCACAAGAGGAATAAGAAAATATGCCAAACTAAATGACAGTGAAAACACAGCATATTAAAATTTGTGGGATGCAGTTAAAGCAATATTCAGAGGGAAATGTATAGCCTTAAATACTTACATGAGGAAACAGAAAGGCATAAAATCAATGATGAAAGCTTCTACCTGGTGAAGCTAGAGAAAGAAGAGCAAATAAAACCTAAGTTGAAGAAAGGAAATAATAGAGATGAAAGCAGAAGTTGATGAAATAGAAATCAAACCAACAAAGCCAAAAGTTGGTGTTTGAAAAGACTGACTAAATTGATAACATCTAGCTAGACTGATTGAGGAGAGAAAGAAAACAGAGAAAACACAAACTGAAATATCATAAATGGAGGCAGGGATATCATTACAGATTGTGCAGACATTAGCAGGTAATGAGAGAATATTATGACAATGTTATGCCAATAAGTTTGACCACTTACATAAAGTAGAAAAATTCTTTTAAAAATTACCTTGTCAAAACTGACATAAAATGCATAAAAACTAAAATAGCTCTTTATTGGTTAAATAAATAGAGCTCATAGTTAAAATCCTTCCCATAAAAAGAATTCCAGGCCCATATCGTTTTACAGGTGAATTATCATAAACACATAAAGAAGGAAAATGCCAGTCTCACCCAAACTTCTGTAGAAAATACGTGAGGAGAAGACACTTCTGAACTTCTGTGACGAGCCTGGCATAGCCTTGATTGCCAGAGAAGGTGAGAGACAGTTACAGATCAGCATTCCTCATGAATATAAGTACAGGTATCTGCAACAAAACATTAATAAATAAAACCCAATAATGTTTAAAAAGGATTGTACATCATGACAAAGTATTGGCTGAACATCTAAAAGCAACTTTTGAAGTTCAAAACATTAACAAAATAAAGGAGAAAAGTCATAAATCATCTCCATAAATGTAGAAAAAGCATGTGATGAAATTAAGTGCCAATTCATGATAAAAGCTCTTTCCAAGTTAAAAATAGAAGGAACTTCTTCAGACTGATAAAAGATATTTATAGAAAGCCTAAATTATATTTGATGGAGATATTATTGGAGCAAAGGAAAGATGTCTGCCCTCTGCAATTCTATCCAGCATTTCCCTGGCACTCTTTGCCAGTACAATAAAGCAAGAGGAAAGAACAAAAAATAAAACACATAAAGATAGGAAAAGAAATAAAATGATCTTTATTCACAAGTGACAAGGTTTTTTACATAGAAAAATAAAAGAATCTGCAAAAAGAAAAAACCCCTACTAGAATTAATATGTGAAGTGAGCAAGGCTGCAAGATACAAGGTCAGTATAAATACCAACACATTGTAAAATAAAAATTTTAAAATGCCACCTATAGTACCATAAAATAAAATAGTTAAAAATAAATTTAACCAAGGACATGCAAGACCTTCGTACTGAATCTATAAAACATTTCAGAGAGAAATTAAAGGGGACCTAAATAGAGAGCTGTATCATGTTCTTGGATTGTTATACTCAATATTGCTAAGATGTCAGTTTTCCCCAAATTTATCTATAGGTTCAGTGCAATTCCAATCAACCTCAGGAGGCTATTCTGTGTGAATTAATAAGTTAATTTAAAATGTATATGGAAATGCAAAGGACCTAAAATAACCAAAATAATCTTGTTAAAGAAAAACTATGTTCTCACTACTTTGTTTCAAAGTTAATATAAAGCTATAGTAATCAAGTGTTGAATTTGTATATCAATGGAACACATCAAAGAAGCCACATGTGTACAGTCAATTGATTTTTGACAGAAGTGGCAAGGTAATTCAATGGGGAAAACGTTAGTCTATTTAGCAAATGGTGCCTGAACTATTTATTTTTATGAAAAAAATGAGTTCAAACTCTTAACTTACATCATACACAAAAATTAATTTGACATGTAAAAGCCACAGCTATAAAACTTCTGAACGGAAACATAGGAGTATATCTTTGGATTTTAAGGCAGACAAAGATTATATAGGACCCAAAATGCACTAATCATAAAAAGAAACTGAAAAATTGGTCTTCGCTTTTCAAAAGACAACATAAAGAAAATGAAAAGATAAACCATTGGAGAAGATATTCACTACACACACACATACACACATACACAGTATATCTGACAAAAGACTTTTTTCCAGAATGAACTCCTACAATTCAATAAAGACAAATAGCTCAAGAAAAAAATGGGCAAAGGACTTGAATAGACACTTCACAAAAGAAGATGTATATGAATAGTCAATAAGCTATGAAAAAATTATATCAATTATCAGAGAAATGCAATTAAAACTATAACGAGATATCAGTTCATATCCACTAGAATGGCTACAATTAAAAAGATGGGTAATACTAAGTTGCCAGGATGTGAAACAACTTGAACTCAATACATTGCTGTTTGGACCATAAAATGGTACAACTATTTTGGAAAATTTTTTGGCAATTTCTTATGATGTTAAATATACACCTACCCTAAGACCCAGCAAACTTACTTCTAGGCATTACCCAAGAGAAACGAAAACCTGTATCCTCAAAATTATACAAAAATGTTTACGGCAGATTTATTCATAATAGCAAAAAACTGGAAACAATACTAATACCCACCAGCAAGTGAATGGATAAATGATGAACGCATCGTGCTGTGCTCATACAGTGGCATACCATACAGCAAGAACAACAAAATGGAACAAACCTCGGTTACATGCAATAACATGAATGAATCTCAAACACTTTCTGTTGCACAAAAGAAGCCAGACACACAAGCATCCATAATGTATGATCAAATTTACATAAAGTTCTAGAACAGGCAGAAGAAAGCTTTGGTGACAGAAATCAGATCATCTGCTGTCTGGGGTGGGGCTGAGGATTGCCTACAAGCCCGAAGGACCTTCTAGGGTGATGGAGAAGCTCTGTATCTTGGTTATGGTGGTGGCTATGCAAGTGTACATTTTTCAAAACCTTTACACTGCACTGACCATAAACTTACTATCTATACTTTTTGTTGCATGCAAATTATACTTAAATAAAATTGATTTATAAAAAAAATCACCCCAATACTTTTGGTGATGAGTTAGTCAAAAATGTCTGCCAATACCTTGAATGGCAAAAGATCTCTACCTCACCGCCATACACAGATTGATCATGCTCTCCTTGGGCTGGAGACAATCGGGGTTCTCTGTCACTACAAGCACTTGTGCTGAACAGAGGAATATGTTTTCTAGTCTTAAAAACCAACCAACAGGCCGGGCGTGGTGGCTCACGCCTGTAATCCTAGCACTTTGGGAGGCCGAGGCGGGCGGATTGCTCAAGGTCAAGAGTTCGAAACCAGCCTGAGCGAGACCCCGTCTCTACCAAAAATAGAAATAAATTAATTGACCAACTAAAAATATATATACAAAAAATTAGCCGGGCATGGTGGTGCATGCCTGTAGTCCCAGCTACTCGGGAGGCTGAGGCAGGAGGATCGCTGATCCCTGGAGATTGAGGTTGCTGTGAGCTAGGCTGACGCCACGGCACTCACTCTAGCCTGGGCAACAAAGTGAGACTCTGTCTCAAAAAAAAAACACAAAAAAAAACCAACCAACAAAACAAAAAGAATACTCATAAAAACCTCCTTTAATAACCTATTCAATGGCAATTCTCTCACCATGACAGAAAGTTCTGCTTCAGGTTTAACTTAAATCTTTCCTGTTGTGTGTTGCTGATCTTTCCTTTAGTTCTCTGGTAAATTGGAACTCTCCCAGGCCTGGACTTGAGTTCCTCTTCTGATAGTAGGTAGTTATTTTTCCGGGCAGAGTTTTAAGGCCGGAGCACTTTGGAATGATGCGGGTAGCCCCTGGCCCAGCTGCGCCACAGTCCCCTGTGTGGCTCTGCCTGATGACATTGTTGAGATTCTTGGAAAATTTGCTGGCATGGCCCAGGGCCCGTGACCCTGCCGTGCTCCCAGGTGCCTTGAATACACTGACGTTCCCTTTCCTTTCCTTCCATGACAGGAGATGCTGAAGGACGAGGTGCGAACGCTCACGTACCGGAACTCCATGTACCACAATAAGCACGTGTTCAAGGACAAAGTGGTGTTGGATGTTGGGAGCGGTACTGGAATCCTTTCCATGTTTGCTGCCAAAGCAGGGGCCAAGAAGGTGTTTGGGGTGAGCACGTCACCCCCCCCCCGCCGGCTTCCGCAGAGCCAGCCCCTCACCCTGTCTTCCCCAGCCCCTCCTGGAAGTGCAGACCAGTCCACCCCTTTTGCTTGGGTCAGACCTTTTGAGGAGGAGCAGAGAAAATCAAGAGTGTCTCTTAGGAGGCAGGGCAGGCTCTCTGTCACCTAGGCATTGCTCCTGGATCCTGCTGGGTGACTGCTAACATTTGCGGGCAATTTTTGGCTTTCCTGAGATCGTTCCAATGACATCCTTACCTTATGGTGCTTAGCCCCACTGTCAGCTCGAGAGGCAGTGCAGTGTGGTGACACGTGGGAGCTCGTCCACTCACTAGAGGGTGACCTTTGGTAATTCACTCCTCTGTACCTCAATTTCCCCATCTATAAAATGGGCATAATAACAGTACCTTGTCCATGGGGTGATTGTGAGGATTGGACATGTTTAATACACAGGTAAAGTGCTTCAAACAGTGCCCAGCATATGGCAAATGCTCGGCGTCTATTATTGCAGTTGAGAAGGGGCTACTGAGAGGTAACAGGAAAATCCCCTTCCCTTTTCTGCAATGGAAAGGTTGGTAGACTTTCCTTCTGCTGCTTTGGCTGCTGCAGCCCCTCGACGTGGAGGATGACCACGCCGCCCAGCTGTCCCCTGGCTCTCACAGGCAGCTGTGTGCAGCCTGCGGACAGGGGGCCTGGGAGTGTCTGGAGCTGGAAAGAAACTGTGAAAAAAGAAGAGCTCTGAGCTGCTGGCTGAAGTTTGAAAAATGCAGTGGGTCTGAGGCTGGAAAACGGACATCAGCCATGCTTGGTCCAGATGAAAGGCAAACTGCAATCAGACTCCCCCGTGTGTACGAGCCGGCCCGTTTGCAGGGTCCCGTGGCAAGCTGGGCAGCGCTCAGAGATCTCCATTCCTGGGGCATTTGGCTGGGCCATCCTGTAGCCTGCCTGCGCTGAGGAGCCCCAGGCTCCCGGTCGCTGGAGCCCTCCAAACCCCTGTGGCCACCCCTGCCTCCATAGGCTTGCCCCTAAGTCGCCCAAAGGGGACAGCACTCCTCCTCCACGCCAGACTTGGGAAGCACTTGGCTGTGGCTGGCGAGGGTCTTCTGGATGCCTGGGCTGTCCTCCAGCTGCCTCAGGCACAGCCGCCTGGGAAGCGCTGCGACCTCTCAGCCGAGGCACTGTTGAGGCCAGTGGCCATCGCACACTAAGGGCAGGCTGTGTCGTCACCACCCGTGTGCCTGCAGGGCCCCAGGGATGGAGGCCTTGGACAAGGGACAGGCAGTGTTTGTGAGGTCACGAGGCAGCAGAGCTGGACGTGTGGCCATCCAGTGCCCCGAGTGCTGTGTCTCCCAGCGCTGCGCACCTGTCCCTGGCACCCGAGCCGGAGCCGTCCGGGGGCTTCAGCCGAGGAGCTGTCAGCGCTCCCACGCGGCGCCTTCCAGCGGCGGTGACTTGGCCATCCGTCTGCCTCCCGCCCTTTTCCCTAACAGCTCTTTCGTAAGCGGCTCCGCCACCGTTGGCCGGCGCCGTTCTGGGTGGCTCACTTCACAGGGCCCCTCCACCCACTGCCGTCCTCGTGGTGACGGGCGCGGGAGGGAGGGAGAGGACGACCATCCCTGGAGACGGAACCTGGAGGTAGAAACGGAGAAAGAGGCAGAAAGAAAGGCTCACAGAAAAGCTGGGAAATGAGACAGGGATCCAGGAAAAGAAAGAAGATAAAGTAGAAAGCACAAAAGAAAAGGAGGGAAATGGAGGGTGGGGAAGAAACGGAAAGGAGAAGACGGAAGAAAGGAGGGCAGGGCATGGCGTAGCCTGCAGCCTGGGCGTCTCCGGGCAGTGAGTGCTGGGGTGTCGGACACGCAGGGACCCCGTTGTCCCAGCACAGCCTCAGGGAATGGGGACTCCGGCCTCACTCGAGGGACCGCTGAGCCACAGTGAGACAGATGGAGGCCAGCTGGGGATCCAGGCTGCCTGTGGCCTCTGCAGGTGGGATGACAACAAGCAAGACAGGGAGAGGAGGAGACGCAGCCCTACAGTCAGTAGGACCTGAAGACAAAGGCCCCGGTAGCCCAGGAAAGGGCTGGTCCTCCTGGGACCTGTGCCCTGGCTGGGCTCTGCCTCCTTAGGGACCCCTCCCGACCCCGTAGGAGCCCTCACCCTTCCTTAAGGCCTTGCTGGAGGTCGTCACAACTCCCTCGGTCCCCCTACGTGACCACTTCTCATGGGAGTGCTCCTGTCCCCAGGGCCCAGGGGAGTGTGGGGGGCTCCCCAGTGTGGAGGGGAGCGGAGTGTGGGGCCCTCGCTCAGGCCAGTCTCTGTAGGGGCCGGACGAGGCGGCAGAGCGGCTCCTGGCACCTGTGCCCCTCACTCCAGCCTCCCTTGGCCGTCCCTGGCAGCACCCACTAGACCTCCAAGCCCTGGGCTGGGCTGGGGCTCCAACCATTCCCCTGAAGACCTGTTCTTAGCAATGGCCAGCTGGTCTCTCAAATACCTTGGCCCTTTGCTTAGGAGATTTGGGGAGCCTGGGAAGACTTCCAGATTAAAAGGAATAAGCTTGTTCCAAGGTGGAGCTGTAGAAGCAGCGAGAGCTACCTTACAGTGGGGGTGGGGCGGGGGAGAGGATGCTAAGACCGGCCCTGGGTGCCTGGCCTGGCACTTCCGACATGGCCCTGGTCCTGCACGGTGCGCAGTTTACCCTGGGGGGCGGGGGTGGGGAGGCCCACGCCACGCGCCACCCTGGCGTGGCTCTGCCATCCCACACCCTCCCCAGGAGGACAGTGGCTGTGCAGCCTCTCACCCTCTGGCCCAGCCAAGAGGGCGAGGCCCGCCAGCCCCTCCCGAGTCTGGGGACAGGGACGGAGCCCATCGCGGGTGGCAGCCGGGGCTCCGTGTCCTGGCAGCGGCAGCCCAACTTAGTGGAAAGCCACTGGCCTGGAGTCGGGAGGGCCAAGTTTTAGTTTTGAATCTGCCACAAATTCTTTGTGGGGCCACGGCAAGTCACTGCACCTCTTTGGGCCTCTGTGTCTCCATCCATTAAGTTGGCGTTGGACGTGCTGTGACTTTTTTTGATGCCTTGCTCCTTTGTTCTGTGCCCTTTCTAGATTGAATGCTCCAGTATTTCTGACTACTCAGAGAAGATCATTAAGGCCAACCACTTGGACAACAGTAAGACATACCTCCAAGTATTTTCTCGCGGATGGAGGGGTGAGGGGCTTGCGCTTTCTTGTCGGGCGATGCAGAGGGAGAGCGGAGCACCCAGCTGAGGCTCCTGCTGGCGGGCTGTGGCCGTGGGTGCTGAGGTTCTCACCCCCAACATGCCAGCCAAGGGGTACATTTGTCCCCTCTCAGCTTTCAGCAAGCCCTGCCTATGGCTAGACCCTTAGCTGCCGTAGCCCCTGCTGGGCCCCAGCTGTAGGCAACCTGTTGAGTTCTGCAAAATGGCCACATCCCTCCTCCTCCTCTTCCTCCTCTTCCCTCTCCACAAGCGCCAGCCCTACCTCTCCCTGCCACCCAGTGGCATCCTGGCAGACCCCAAGATGTGGTCCTGCCCCCCCACAAGCCACGTCACTGACCAGCGGGGCCTTCCTCATGCTGGAGTCTGATTACAGAGAGGTGTGTCCCTGTCCCGTCCCTTCCCTTCCTCTCTCCTTGCTTCCTTCTACCTGGAGCCCATCTTGAACACCCAGACCCAAGGACGGACTAGGAGAGCTCCTTGTGGCTTGCATCTGTCACCAGGATTAGATGCAGGCCCCGGCCCCTGTGCTCGGCGCTGGGGAGAACTTCACAGGGACATTGTGTCCCACTGCGCTGGGGCTGAGGCAGTGAGGCCAGGAGAGGGACAGGTGGACGAAAGTTGCAGTGCGGGGAGTGAGCTGGAGTCCAGACCGGTGGCAGAGGCAGGGGACTGAAGCAGCGTAAAGCCGAGGGCCTGGGAAGCCTTAGTTCTGGAAGACAGAGTTCATTGCAGAGTTCTGAATGGTGGCAAGGAAGCAGCAGGAGGGAAGGATATTACTTAGAGGGGTCTAGGGCGGGCGGGGGTGGTGGTGGTGGGGAGAGACCACAGTGGAGCAAGAGACAGGGCAGGAAGGGGTCTGTTTTGTGTCCCTCTGGTGGGAGCTGGGCACAGAGGTCTCGCATGCAGGCTCTGCCCCGTCCCCGGCACCTGGGACTCCACACAGCCTTCCCTCTCTGTGCTGTGTGACCTTCGGCTCCAAGGATAAAGCCCTTGCCGTGCTCCCTGCCAGGCTTCCAGAACTCTCTTGCTCCCCTATAGGGTGCCTGCTGCCCTGATGCCCTTTGGGTCTGACCTGAGTAACTAGGTCGGGGCGGTGCTGCCGACTGCACTACTGCACGCCTGTCCCACGCGGCTGCAGCCCGCACCTGTCCTGCTGCTGCTCGACACACCTGCTGCAGACTCTTAGAAAGGGCAGGAGTGTTACTCAACAAACTTCTCTGCCTGCCACCATGAGCAAGGCTCTGGGGACAGAACAGGGAGCAAGACAGGTAAAGTCCCTGACCTCATGGAATCCACACTGTAGCTGGGGGGAGGAGGGGGTGGTTACACATAATAAAGACGTAGAAGCCCAAAGAAAAATATCAGATGGTGGTAAGAGCTCGCAGATCACAAAGGAGGCTGATAAGATAGAGGAGGACCAGGTGGTTACTGTCAGGTCAGTCTCTGAGCAGGTCACATTCAAGTTCAAATTTGAATGACAGGAAGGAGACAGGCTGACAAAGGTCGGGGGAGAAGGAGTTAGAGCTACGCAGTGCACAGGTCTGTAGGCAGGATGGGGCTCAGCATCCCCACGGGACAGAAGAAAGGCCTGTGGCCAGGGTGTCGGGCGGCAAAGGGAGCAGAGGGTTGCAGGGGCCAGTCCTACAGGCTTGGAAACTAGGAAAGCAAGGTTGGATTTCATTCTCTGGGTGCTGAAGTCTTCTGGGGAATTTTGAGCAAGGGCGGTGTCTTCTCTATGGAGAATGGGTGGAACTGGTCATGGGCGGGAAGAGCAGAAGCAGGCGCCGAGAAGGAGCTATCACAGCGCTCCAGCCAGACTGCCAGCGTGGTGACCGGAGGTGGCGGGGGCAGAGGAGAGAGGGGGCCACTGTGGGAGATGCATGGAAACAGAGGGTGGGCTGGGTGTGGGAATGAGGGGAAGAGAGGGCAGGCTCTAACTCCTTTTGACTTGAGCAACTGCGTGACTGGGGACTGGCTGCAGGCAGAGTACTCAGCAGGAGGCAGGGGCAAGAAAGAAGTCAAGAGCTCCCCTGCGCCGTGCTGGTTTTGGGCTGCCTGTGGGCCACCCAGGCAGAACTACGGAGCCGGACTGCGTGAGTCTAGTCTAGAGTTTCAGGGAGGTTCAGAGGAGACCCACACTCGGAAGTCACCAACATATAGATATTGTTTAAAGCTTCGGGATGAGGTCACTTAGGGGTGATGTGTAGCTAGAGGAAAAAATGGGACAAAGGTAGGGCTCGTGGGCATTTCAATGCTCGAGGTCAAGCCCAGGTCAAGGGCCAGCGAGGGGGCTGAGCACACACAGTCAGCGAGGTTGGTGGCCGTTCAGAAGCATGACTGCCATGAAGCCCGAGAAGGAGGGTGTGGCAGGCTGCAGGGAATGCCGTGAGCCCAAGCAAGGTAAGAACAGAGAAGTGCCCCTTGAGTGTTGCCACATGGAGGTTACTGGCGTCCTAACAAGAGCAGACTCAATGTAGGGGTGGGGACGGAAGTCCAGTTAGAGTAGGCTCAGGAGAGACTGAGGTAAAGACCATAACTCTACTCGTTGTGATGGGGACCAGGGAGATGGAAAGGTAGCTATTAGGGATGTAGGATGAAGGGAGGGTTTTTTTGTTTTTTTTTTTAAGGATAGCAGATATTAAAAGGTGTGTATGATTGAATGGCACAGTAGAGAGAGAAAAATTGCAGAAAGAGGAAATTCAGGAGCAAAGACCTTGAGGAGGTGGGGAGGTGGGCTCCAGAGCACAGGTGGGAAGGTGGCCTTTGTCTTGCACAGGTGGAGGGGGTGACCCTTGCCTAGAGTAGAGACAGTTCAACTCCCACATCCGAGGAGCAGGGTGTTGGGGGTCCAGACAGCAGCGGCTGGTGGTGGGAAGCCTTGCTTTGCTGCTCCTGTGCTCCGTGAAGATGGGGCGCTGGCTGGCGGGTGGGGCGGAGGCGGTGGGAGATGACGGGGCTGGCGTGGAGCGGGGAAGCAGACCGCTGGGAGCACCGGCGCCTGTAGAGGTGGCAGCACAGACACACAGTGAGTCCGGTCCTCACTGCTGTGTGATCTTTCCCTTGTCACACTCAGTGGCTGGGTGCGAGTGGGGGAAGGTTGCTGGGTGGGGGCTTTGCTGGGAGGACATGGCAGAGTGGGGGAGCCAGAAGTTGATGACAGCGTTGGACCAGGGCATCTAAGCTGGGTGGGGGAGAATGGAGGAAGGGGCGATGGTGGTGACAGGCCGGGGCGAGGGGCAGGTGGCATCTGTAGTGGCTGTGGGTGGGCACAGTCCCCCGGTCCGAGCGGGGAATGCAGCTCCGATCCCCTGACCTCTGGCGGGTGCCCAGCCCCACTTTGTTCACGCAGGGCAGCGGGGTCTCTCCCGTGCCCTCTTCACACAGCGCTTGCCCTGGGCTCCCTATCTGCATACTAAAGATGGAAAAAGCAAACCAGTCGATTCTTTCCGTGCAAGACGGTACGGCCTGGCACCCACAGGTTTCACCTGGCCGCCTCCTCCTTAGCGGACGTGGAAACCGAGGCTGGGGAAGGGAGCGACTGAGCTGGGCGGGAGCCCTCAGTCGCGGCTCTGGTTCTTGCCCCCTTTCCTCAGGTGTGCCTGTGTGGATGCGGACCCTCCACTGCTCGCCTGTCCAGAAGGTGGAAACTCATAGGTGGGGAGGGGGGCGGATGTCCTCAGGGGTCCTGAGTCCCATCCCTGGGTTCTAAGAGTCTTCCCAAGAACTCTCCAGCCGTTCCCTGCCCCAGCACTGGTCCCATCTGCACAGGAATTCCTGCCCTCTGAGGCCCTGCCCGGCCTCTGACTCTGCTTCTCTCTCGGTGCTGGCTCACCCCCAGCAAGTAAGTGTTGGGGGCTCTCTCTGTCCTCCCCCAGCTGGCAGAGGCCACGGCCCTGCAGTAGAGTGCGGGCTGGGTGTGGAGGGGCGGTGGCTAACACCTGCTGAGGAGTCCCGACCTTCAGACATCACCAAATTTCCACCTATCTGTCCACCTGCTCATTTATTTGTTCATTCATCACACTGTGGATTCCTATTTTATTTAATAGGTTATACCTGTTATCGCTGTTTACTTTGACACTCAGATCGCGCCTGATTTGGTGGCTGGGAGCCCCTGGCTTGTGTGTCCCTTTGCCGTCCCTCTCCCCTCTCTGCGAGCTTCCTGACTCTCTGGCATGAGATGTCCCAGGCCGGTCCTGAGCCTTCCATGCCTGTTCTGGAGCCGGCCGTTTCTCCCGATCCCATTTAAAGGACAGCAGCATTTAGAAACTAAGATCGAGTGACACGTGCTCATTGATTTTAGGGTGCTGGTGCTCCCAGGCTGCTTCGTTGGAGAGAGCTGGGGCGTGTGTGCGTCTCTTTGTGCACACACTTACACGAGATTAATTCTGCATCTCCATTTTGTCAAGTCGGAGCTCACGTGGCACCTCCCCTGCTAACCAATGCCACAGGCTTCCCTCTAGTTTTCGCCTTGCCCATGCTTGTGCCTCCTTTCTCTGGCACTGGAAATCGCACTCTCTGTAACGTGTTTACCTATCACGCACCCGTCTGTGTTCACATAGCCCTGTACGAAACCGCTCTCCCACGGTCGCCACCTCCTGCCCCACACGACGGCCTGTCAGCCTGTGCTGGCCAGCATCCCATGCGGGCCGCCTCTGCCGAGCCTGCTGCCCGCTGTTGCGGACGCCCACCCCGCACCCTCCACGCCAGCGTCCCGCACCGGGCTGCCCGTCCCCCAGCCCTGCCGCCTGGACTCCGACGCGCTGGGCCAGGCCGCCCCTGCTCAGGCTTCAACACGCCCTGCCGACATCCGTGCTCTGGATTCTGATGGCTCAGGCTTGACTCTGTGCTACCGAGACACAGGCCCAAGAGGGCCAAACCACTGTCCCCCAGGGAATAGCTGCCACGTGCCCCACGCCTGTTCCTCCCTGTCACACACACTGTGCTGGGGGCACGCAGGGTGAAGCAAAGCTATCTTTGTTTCTCCCTCCCTGGGGGTCGAAGCAGGTGGGTGGAGCTGGTGAGGCTGCTGAGGCCACCCTGGGTCCCGACTGCTGGCCCAGTCCCCTCAGCCTTGGCACGTGTACTTGAAAGAGGACAGCTTGGCTACACAGACGCTTCCATGGAAATGCTTTTGAAATGCTGCAGCAGCAATTGTGTGGGGCTTGGGAGTGTAGGTGTAGCGACATAAATAACAACATGGCATCAAATACCTGCTTCCCAGAACCAGTCAGTCTCTCTTCCTCCCCGCCTCCGTGCGGCTCCGGGCCGGAGTTACCCGCGCGGACGCACGCCCACGAGCAGCACCTACGGCAGACACGCGGCCCTCACGTGGCTCCTTCCACGCGCCTGGCCCACACACGTGCTGCAGTGACTCTTCTTTGACTTAAGCACTAACGATTATTATTTCCTCTCCTGGCGAGCAAACCAGTAGGCTGCTGAGATGCTTAGAAAGGTGGGTTCATTTGTTAAAGTTGACATAGGAGCTCAGAGAGTGATAGAATTTTTATATTTCTGGAAACAAAAAATTATAACCCATTTTCTTCTCGGAAAACTAGAGAAAAAATGTGTACCCCTCCTTTCTCTTTTCCTACTTGTGCATGACCTAAAGCATAAATATGATGGATGGAAGAGACCTTAGAATTGCATGACACGAGGCAATGACAAGGGACAGGGCCTCTGTGACATAAGGGTGTGGAGGACTGTGTCAGATCGCCTCAGCTTTCTGAGCCGCTCTGAGCCCCCTGGGGAGGAGACGAGCTGGGAGCAGCTTGCAGGGCTGCTGGCGGTTAGAGAAATGTAGAGCAAGTGCCTAACACAGAGCCTCGCATGCAGTAGGTGCTCAACGAGTCAGCCACAGGCCGTTTCAGGTGTCGCGGGCTATCCTTGATGATCCCTGCCCTGTGCTGCCACAGTGTTTCTCCATGCACCGCAGCCACCGGCCTGGCAAGCTGCTCCTGAGGGCACCTGGGCAGCCCCCGGGGAGCGGGGCCGTCAGAGGTGCTTCCTCCCTCGGAGGCAGGCGGACTCCACCTCCCTGCAGCCTTCCCAGTGCCCCGCAGAGTGGCTCTCCCTCCTCTCCTCTCGGGCTACACACCCGGCTCCTCCCCTTTGCTCAGGTGGGCTCTGGTTTGAGCCTTCTCTTCTGTTCACGCTTTAGCGTCTCTCCTCCCCACCCTCAGGGAAAGCCAGGCTAAGAAGCAAACACAGCGCAGTCTACCGACCGGAGGGGCCAGATGCTGCTCTTCTGACAGTGCAGCTCCGCTGTCCGCTAGCGATTGTGGAAAGCACCGTGTCACAGTGACCCTAGCTGGAGAGCAACCACAGCCTGCCATGTAGCCCCATGCTGCTGCCAAGCCGTACCTCCTAACCTGTATCTGGCTCATGGGTGTTTTGTGTCCCGCGGGACCTTCTTTTACTCACGGGGGCGAGGGGGACCGTGCCTGAAAGAGATGGGCGAGAGAAAGAAACGAGACCAAGCAAAGGGTTGTCAAGGTCTACTTTACTTGGATTTTTAGTAGGTTTTATATACAGAAAACAAGGAAGTAGAAACAGAAAAATAGAGTGGGGGGATGATGAGGCTTGGGTGTGGGCTAATCAGCCCCAATCAGCATCTCAATGGCACCAAAAGCTGTTTGTGATGGATCACTCAACCCCAACCGGGCAGGGGGTCGGGAACAATTGCAGGTAGCATGCCCTGGAGCAAGCACGTCATGGAATGCATTCTTCTCGGAACTATAGCTGGAGGGCTGGGTGCTATTTTCATCTTAGGCTGTTTTCCGTGCGTAGGACAAGTCAGGACAAGTCAGGACAAGTCGTTGGAATGTGGAGGGTCTTAGTCTCCAACAGTTTTGAATCCAAACTGAGCATCATATATGTTTTCTATTTGTATTCATCTTCATGCTGTCAGATTTGATCCTCCATTCGTCCCTTGCTCATCACTCTCCTGGGGTCATTGTTCCTGGCTTTGTGTCATCTACACATCTGATAGGTGCCCTGTAGTGAGTGTGGAAGCTCCAGCTGGCTGGTCTACGTTCAGCTCTTAATCAGCTCCCTAGAATACGGTCATGCTAGTCGGGAATCCACACAACTTGTCATCTCTGTTAGGAGGCCATGGAAGTGGGGTCTTGACGTCCCCACGTGCTACACGGCAAGCTCTGGCTCTGCGGCCACACGTTCTTGTTCACACCCAGTTCTGCCAGGTTCAGCTTGTGATCTTGGATAACTTACTTTACGTGCCTTAGTTTCCTCATCTGTGAAATGGGAATGATACTGGCTCATACTCATAGGGCCATTGCGGGCTTACACAGCTACCAGATATGTAAGTACAGCATTCTGGCTCAGGCTCCTGCCAGGATCCTGAGAGCTGATTATGAAATTTTCAGCAAATTTGTGGAATAGATGCAGTCACTTTGGTGGTTTGGGATTGACCATGGTGGAAATCAGCAAATGCTACTAACCAGGGTGTCTGTCCCCAGGATAGCCTGTCGTTTAGTACCTACAGCACCCTACCATGTAAAACACAACAGCACCCAGTGCACAGTAAGCACCTGATAAATGTTAGCTGTTGTTATTATTATTTCATTTATTAACTTGACTAATGACCGTGTCAAAAGATTAATCATATCTAATTGGTTTTAATGAGCCTGTACTAGTGACTCCTGGCAATTGCCACTTCTTTTCCTAACTGCTCGTGAGACAACCCATTAATAATCTTAGACGTGAGTGTCATTTATTCCTTCCTTCCAGCATTACTGTGCCGCGTGGTAGGCCCTGCACCGGGCATGGACCAGTCAGTGGTGTGACTGGCGCACACAGGATCTTTGCTCTCACAACGCTTACGGTGTGGTGGGGAGGACAGACGTGAAGGCGAGCGCTAACACAATCATAAGCTCACCGCACGTTGCGACAGTGCTTAGAAAGCACCGCGCCGGAGAAGCTGGGAAAGCCTGGGTGGGCCCGCTTCCGGCTGCCTGGCCGCGGGGGTGCTGGAGCCGCTCTCACTGCTTCCCCAGGGCCCATCCGCACTCGCGTCTCTTCTCAACCCTGCCTTGAGTGACAGCGTGTGTCATTAGCTTGAAATCGGCCTGGTGGAAGTATTTACATTACAGACGTCAGCAGAGTTTCTTCTTTCTGGAGCTGGCTGTCGAACATCTAACAGCATAGCACTGGCACCGTGGAGGGAGAGGACCCTTCTCTGAGGAGAGGCATGGACCCCAAGACCTGAAAGGGGAAGAGCTAGGCCATGCTGGGGGGGGGAGTGTTTTACAGGCCTGTGCAAATCCCCGGAGGTGGGAGACACTGTCTGTCCCGTCCCATGTAAGCTGCTACAGGCAGTGGGTGAGTGAGAGCCTGGAACGATCTGAGTACCTAGCCCCGGGGAAACTTTGTCGCTTTTAATGTTTCCATGGATTTCAACCACTCCACCAGGGCCCTCTGCCTTCTCTGTTACCCCTGCCCGCCTTGGCCGAGCCTACGCAATCGTCTGCCCGTGGCCGAGGTGTCGCGTATTTGCCAGGCTGGACCGTGCGGGGTTCTACGTGGTGGGTGACGATTTTGGGTGGGCAGGAGCCCTGGCACAGCTCCAATCAGCCGAGCAGCATTCTAGCCAGTGCCCAAGGGAGGAGAGAGGCCAGGGAAGGGCCCTGGCAAAGCTGGCAGGGCTTTAGAGCCCTGCGAAGCGGACTGGAACCTGAGCCACCAAGGGAGCCGGAGCAGGCTGGGGCATGAAGCCAGGCAGATTATGCGCTGGGGACAAGGCAGACCCTCAAGCTCTCTGTTCTAGGGTAAATGGGGGATTGGGCAGAAACAGGGGACAATGCTGTGGAACCTTCTATACTGAGGCTCCATGGCACCCAGGGCTCCCCTATGCCACGCTAGTAAGGGGGTCCCTTTGCTGCAGGACGTATTCCCAGTCCCCTTGGATACTGAGGGGAGAGATATTAATGTTCTCTTTCTCCCATCACCACTTGTCCCAGAATGGGCTGATTCTCACCTTGTGAGAGAGGTTTATCCATATAGCCGAGCCTGGGAAAGATGAGAGCAGAGAGCAGAGGCAGGGGTTGACGTCAGGGACGATTGACAGGTGCTGGTCCCACCCTGGCTGCTCTTGATGGTTCCGTCTCTCCTCAGTCTGCCAACCAACCTGACCAGCCTTCAGGAGAAGGATGGCTTTGTCCTTTGCCTTCTCTGATTTCTTTTCTCCCAACATCCCAAGCAGTTGCTGATATTCACACCAATCCCAGGTGGTAGGAAGGTTGGGTATTACGATACCTGTTCGCCAGGTGGAGGGAAGGAGCCTCAGGGAGGCTGACCGACTTGCACAAGATCACACGCCAGACAGACTTCGGTTTAGGCTCTGCAATTTGACTTCTCCAAACCCAGTTCACTTGTTAGGCAAAATGAATAATAAGCCAACCACGCCAGACCCTAGAAGGATTATTGAGATAATATATGTAAAATCACTCTGCAAGCTCCTATTCAAATGCTAGTAATTTTTTACAACCATAATTAGGACTAGTTGGAAGATCTTTTGTCTCTTAACCTGATGCTCTTTTCTTCAAAATTGCTTATTCATCCACCCATTCATTCGCTAATGATTTCTGAATGTTTGCGAGGATCCAAGTGCTCCACCAGGCCCTAGGAACAGGAAGCTAAAATAGACAGCTAAGAGGCAGAGTTCACGGGCTCCAAGTGAATGAGGTCCTCAGGAGGCGTGTGGCAGCTGCTGTGGGTGTCACCAAAAGCCGGTGGGTGAGTGAAGTGTGGAGGGCGTGGAGGGAGACGAGGGACAGGCTTTGCTCTGTGGGGTGTCCTGGGGCCCTGCTGGCTCAGCAAGTGCTCCTGTCCCCATGCTCCTCACCCTCCCGCCCGCTCTTCTGTGGGGCAGGGTCTGCTCTCCGAACAGTGACGGCTCAGGTGGGGAAACTGTGAACTTCAGCCCCGTGGGGTCAGCTGACTCTGATGGACGAGCTGGAGGCTCAGGTGAGGTCGAGCTGGCCTGGTTTGTTAAAAAATAAAAAAGCCAGCCAAAGGGTCATTAATCATGTGACTGTATTTCCATATATCCACTCAAAACTCAAACCAAAAAGAAAAGAAATCATGCTAGAAACAATGAATAAAATCTGGATGTCTCATTTGCAAACTTGAAGCTACAGGGGAAAATTTCCCGATTTAGAGTTTATTGCTCCCTGTGGTGCATTTAGTTATGATTAATTATTCTAAAATATATGAGCCAGGGTCCTGTCGTAGTTAGTTGAACAAACTAACTTTCCACCCTCCTCGTGGAATAAAAACACTGCTCCCGACAGTGACCTCAGTGCGTCCTTGAGCGGATGCAGTTTAGTGATGTGGGTCCAGACCGGGCATGGAGTTCTGCAGCCTGTAGCTGCGCAGAACCTAATGTCAGTGGCTTAGACCCCTCTGCAAGCCTCGACATGGATGAGAAGGGAGGACCCGCTGTGCATGCCCACACAGTTCCTTGAGCCAGCCTAGCACCACATGTTGGCCTGTAGCCCCTAATGAATTGGCATAAACCCCACCACGAGAGGGAGCATTCTGCAGGTTGGGATGTTGAATCTGGAAGTGTAAGTGGTTGCTGGTGGTGACTACAGACCACAGGAAATCTAACCCTGGCGACTCAGCTGAACAGTTGTATTTGGGTCCACAAAAGAAAATTTGGCCTCTTAAAAAAAATCAAACGGGATCCAGGAATTGTTATAAATTAGGGTCAAAGTGGACATTGCAGGCACCACGTCTTTATTGTCGTCAGCTGTCCCTACCAGTAAACCTCACAGAATGCCTTACACATAGCAAGTGCTCAGTACATGTTTAAAGAGTCACAGCATTCTGGTGCACCAAGGATTTCTGATTCACCCTCTCCAACTCCTTTTTTAAAATAAGGAAACTGAGGTCCCAATGCAGAGGAGGTACTTGCTCAAGGTTAGCTGTGAGCTGGAACGAGAGCATAAGTGCTTGAGGACCCCAGCATAAAGTTGTGTAGGTTGAGCACTGCACAAAAGCACCCGGGCAAGAGGGTGAATGGGTCTGAAATCCAGTCCACCCCTGGACTGAAGGGAGGTGTGTCTTTTTTCTTTCACAAAGGGACCGTCTACTCACCAAACCAAGCGTGGGGCCACATCTGCTCTGAGATGTGTTTGCGCGGAATAGATATAGAAGGGCGTTGCTAAGTGAACAGAAGTCCAGACTATTAAGCATTTTATAGGGTTAACTGATTCCTTCTGCCTTTTTGCAGGCAGAAATAGTGTGATATTTGCTGTTCTGTGCCCCTCTGTATGTATCATCTATCATAATCCATGCTGGTCAGGATGTAGCAGCTCATAGATAAGACAGCTGGCACAGAGAACAGGGCAGCAGTCACTCCCTCTGGAAGGCACCTGGGAACATCCCGTATGTAACAAGAGCAGGCAAACACATCAAGCCTGCCTGTCAGACTTGGTAATATTTGTTTCCTGCAGCTCCTAATGGAGTCCTATCCACGAAATCATCCTGGGTGGACACTTGTACCAAACACCCAGGGTGGAGTCGTGGGCCCGGAGGCAGAAGAGGACTGCAGGGAGGTCACGCCATAGTGCAGGAAGAGGAACTGACCCACAGCTGCACGGGCACATGCGGACATTAGGGGAGAGACTTCAAGAAACGTGCAAAGAAAAAAGAAAGTGAGATCATTGAAAACACTTTTCAAAAGTTTACAGAACTAAGACAAGCCAGTTTCAATTGCATACAAAGACCCACTGTTCTATTTTTCCCAACAAAGCTCAGGCATTGTGTGAATTTTCAGAGGACGTTACAGAATGAGAGTTTCAGAGCATGAATATATGTAACTTTTCAGGAGAAATGTTCAGAAGGAAGCAGCCAACCAGTACATCACCCTGTCAGTTTAACGGCAGTAGCTCAGATAGCCTTTGTTCTGATCTTTACAGCAAGAAATACAGAAAGAGACTTCAAAATTACGTGTACATCTATGTTAATTGATCAAAACTCAACTAAGAAGTTTCTCCTGGCCCAGGGGGACCTGAAGGTCTTGGGAGTGACTCGCGGGCAGGGCCACCTGGCTCAGGGGCTTTGTCCCGGCCCTATCTCCTTCCCCCCTCCATCTGTCAAGGAGCATGTCAGATGATGTCTGCCTTCTCGGGGCCTCAGCTGTGGGCCTGGCGCTTCACGTGTGTTATTTCGTTTTGTCAACACAACCATCCTCCAAGTAGATATTACTTTCCATGGTTGTCCTCTGGGGAATTAGAGTTTAGTTAGGTCCAATAACTTGTGTGAGGTCACACAGAAGTCAGCATTAGAAGACCCAGAACTGAAACCCAGGTTTCTCTGACTGCAGAACCCATGCTCTTGTCAAAACACCAATTTGCCTCCTTCACAAACGCTAGAGGGGCACCCACCGGGTGCGGAGCCCTGGCTGTGAACAGACGCAAGAGTGGCAGAGGAGGCATCTCTGCTTTCTTTGGGTTGGAATCACCATGGTAACCTGACATAGGGTGGGGAACCATGATAGAGTGTTAGAGTCATATCATACCAGGTCTGGGCTCTGACCTATGGCCGCTATTTAACCTCTTTAAACCTCAGTTTCCTTAGTTGTAAGTGAAAATAATAATACAGTTGACCCTTGAACAATGTTTAGGTCCCTGGTGCTGACCCTGTACACAGTCAAACATCCATGTAGAACTTTGACTCCTCAAAAACTTAGCTACAAATAGCCTACTGTTGATCAGAGGGTTACCAATAGCATAAACAGTCAATTAACACATATTTTGTATGTTCTATGTATTATATACTATACTCTTACAGTGAAGTAGAGAAATTAAAATGTTATTAAGAAAATCATAAGGAAGAGAAACTGTATTTACTGTTCATTAAATGGAAGTGGGTTATTATAAAAATCTTTGTCCTCATTGTCATCAAGTTGAGTAGGCTGAGGAGGAGGAGGAAGAGGAAGAATTTGGCTTGCTGTCTGCTGGTGGCAGAGGCAGAGGAGGTAGAGGAGGTGGGAGGGGAGGCAGGAGAGGCAGGCACACTAGGTATAACTTTTATTGACAACAATCTGCATATAAGTGGAGCCATGCAATTCAAGCTCATGTTGTTCAAGGGTTAACTGTAATGTGCTTACTTCACAGGGTTGTTGGAAGGGTTACACGATACAGTACATGTGATTGGCCTGGCGTAGTGCCAGGCACATAGTAATGGCTCAATAATCTTAGGGGAAAATACGCAAGTAGTTTTCAGTTATCTTAGTATAAACTAGCTTGGTGAAGGGCGAGCTATGTCATATCCTAAAAGTAGAATCAGAATAGAGCTAAAACCTGGAGATGTGGCTCAGATATGGGGTACTCATGGTTTCCTGGGTGGAGTCCCTGCAAAGTATGGCCTTGGGGTTCTTATTTTCCAGTCATCACCATATTTAAGGGTAAAGTGGAAGAGGTGGAGCTGCCTGTGGAGAAGGTAGACATCATCATCAGCGAGTGGATGGGCTACTGTCTGTTCTATGAGTCAATGCTCAACACGGTGATCTTTGCCAGGGACAAGTGGCTGGTGAGTGTCCTGCATGCTGTCCTTGTGTTGGTCCGCTGGCTGTCTTGCTGCTCCACCCGTGGCCTACAGCCTAGGAGGAATATGAGGTCCTCAGAGAGGACTTGGGCTAGGAGGTCACCTCTCCCAGGCTCCTGTCTTTAAAGCAGATCTGCTTTGGGGCACAGAATGATCACCCGTGGGGCCAACATGTCTAACTGTCAGAATGTACTTCTGTAGTCTGACCTTAGCCTCTTCTGCAAGAGTTGACACCCACTCTCTTGTCAACATAAAAGTTCATTCAGGTCAACAAGTACTTAGGAGCCGAGTGTGCTGCCCACCTTGGCTTCTCCAGGCTAAGAGGTCCTACCATATTTCACTGGTCCTCATTGGATTTAACTTCATTTATTTTATTGACTCCACGTAGGTCCCTCAAATTCTCTTTGCTCCAAAATAAAAATTGAGCATTGCTACCCTAGCCCTAAGGTGACAGTCCACTGATGAGAAATGCTGGCAAGGGGGTGCTTGTCTGGTGACTCTATGTGCAGTTCAAAATGTGATGTCTTTGTCAGGTGAATAGATTACGAGACCCATTTCCCCACAATTCATCAACAGAAACCTGGAGGGCTTATGTTTCCAGACCGGGCAGCTTTGTACGTGGTAGCAATTGAAGACAGACAGTACAAGGACTTCAAAATCCACTGTAAGTGCCCTTTTGATTCTCCACTAGCTTCTATTGCGCATTTGGGTGGGAGGCACGTGGATGGGCCTGGGATGGGCAGGCAGTGTCATGAATACAGGAGCTGTCCCTGCAGAGGAGATTATCTGTGACCCTTTCTGGACTCTTGCTAAACATTTCTCTTTGCTCCCGAGGGTGGGAGGTCTACAGAAAGAAAATGAGCAAAATGGTTTGTATAAGATGAATGTTCTGGGGTGAGGGAACAAATGCAATGTGATGGAAGCTGCAGAAGCTGAGATTTTGCAGAGAAAAGTGGGACAAGTGCCTAGAACCCTGCCAAGGGTCAGTCATCCCGAAAGTCCACGCCAGGGATCAGAGATGCAGGTCTCTAGCCAGGCCAATAATTTTGAATCCTGCCTTCATGCCACTCAAACTTATCGAAATAATATTGATTCTCCTTCACACTGAGTAAAATAAGTGTTTTCTGAGGTTCCGTGGGGGATGGGTAGCAGTGGGGGTGGGGAGGAGTGGGAACTTGCTTTGAACAAGCGGACAACTGGCGAGAGCCGTGTGAGGCGGCGCGTGGCTAAGAGCGCGTTCGCCGCGCCCTGTCAGCCAAGTGCAGTGGTTCCCTGAGAAAAAATAAGATGAAAACAACTCCCGTGATTTACCTGGTCTGAAAAGGGCTGTTTTGTTCTATTTCACTTAAAGGGTGCCACTTTCCTATGACACAGGCCTGGAAATTAATGAGATCACACCGAACGTCTTTTCACAAGGTTGGACGTGGCTATGTCTCCTTAATCAGAACTAAATGCGAAAAGAACCCCTCACACCAGCAAGCGCACAAACAAAACAAAAGCCAGAGGCAGACGCTCCAAAGTGTCCCGAAAGTCAGCAAATCCAGGGGTCCTGTCGCGGCAGGGCCGTCAAGCCCTCCTTGGCCAGATGACTGTGGGGGTCGACATTGAATCTGTGAATAATCGCCTCTTGCCCTGAGGGGCTAAGACTCCACCCACAGCTCAGCAAACTGTCGTTCCACTGATTCAAACAGGCGCCCTCCAATTGCCATTAGTGGCTGTGATGACACCCCGACTAGACTGTGCTATGGAACGTGTGTGTGTACGTGTTCACACTTCTGGTAATGCCAAAGTGTGAAGTTCAGAGCTAGGTTCAGGAGAAAACAGGAACGGGCAGCTGTTTCAGGCTCTGTGCCCGGAAGCCCTCTCTGAGTGCGGTCTGCCTCCGCCGGTCCGGTGTGGTTTCTACCATGGGACTTGTGGGGCAGGGAGGCAAACTCCCAAATGAGGGGAATGCGAGGTAGGGTGGCCTGTGGAATGCCTCGCAGTCTGCCAGCTCTGGCTTTAAATCCTGGCTCTGCCACTTACTAACTAGGTAACCTTGAGCAAATTATCTAACATCTTTGAGCCTGAGTTAAGGGATCATCTCCTCAATCCCACAGACTGCTCATGAGGATTAGGTGAGATGACGTCTGTTATAAAGAACATAGCAGTCTGGGTGCTGTAGTGCGACCAGATGGGATCTGGTCTCTGGCCATGTAACTAAGCCCCTTTCTGCCCATGGTCTGGCAAGGGGGCCAGACTGCTAAGCCCCTGGTGGCCCGGAATCTAGGACAGCTCTACTCTCACAGAAGATTGCAGACACGGCCCAACAGAGAACATTGATCAAATGCATGTGTAAATAGGACATGCTTTGCCCTGGAGCTGCATTGTGCAGTTCTTACCATGAAGTTGTAATGAATAATGTATTGAGGAGAACTTTTGGGTACATTCTGCATTCTCATGTCCGCTTACATATTTACTGAGCTCCAACCTAGGCACAGCTCTTTAGAAACTTCCTCGTGGTTTCCAGAACAAACATACCTTGTACCTGGGAGCCTCTGGAGGTAAGCACATTGCATTGAGCCCCACTGGGGGTAGGAGAGCAAGGGATGGGGTGGTCTTTGCTGTCACTCAGCCGCTAGCCCAGAACTGGAGAGCATGTCGTTTGTTCTTGTGATTCCCACTGCAATTTCACAGCTTTTGGTAAAGATAAAAATTTTTTGTCAGTCCCATTTTTCTTGCACAGTATGCTTGTTCTGGAATATCTGTCAATGAACAAACAAACCCAAAACAACAAAAAAAAACTAAACACTTAAAAAATACCGTTAAGTCTTCTATTTAAATTTTTAAAAATAATTTGTCTCTCTCCTTTTTTATTTTTATTATTTTTTTTAGTTAAGGAAGCAAATCCATTTAGAAATCTGTTTCAAATATTGATTCTTGGCCTTTTGGCTAAGATCAAGTGACATCTGTTGAAATAAATGGAGCTTTTGGTTACTATGAGTTCTAAATCAAAGGCAAAGCACAGAGGTTGCCGGTTGCTAAGGGAACAATTGTAAGCAAACTTCTAGTGGCTTAAGAACCAGCTAAGAAGGAAAAATCTTAATGTGGGGCAGGAGAGTGAGACCTGCCAAGCCCCTCAGAAAGTGAATTGTTAGGGGAGAGGCTTCGCCCCTTCCCCCTCTTTCCTCTCTCCCTCTCTCTCTTCTCTTTTCCTGCCTTTCCTTCTCCCCTCTCCCTTCCTCCCCTTCTCTTTCAAGCACAGGCAACCTGAGAGTGTGAGAATGCGTGAAATGCAGAACCTTCCCTCGATTTTCTCATCAACTAATAGAGACTATGGAAAGAGAGAGAAATAACTAGCATATACGAGGCTCACAATGCATATTTTTGTTGAATGATTGCATGAATAAATGAATGAAGAAATGAAAGTAAACCAACAGAGGAAGGTTCAGGTGTAGTGTTTAACTCTGAGAGAGGAGCAATCATTAAAAACAATTTTTCTACTCTAGAGGAGATTTCTAGAATGTTAAAAATGGAAGGAAACTTGGTGGGTATGCTATTCAATGTCATACACAATACATGAATCTACAGCCTGCCGAGAGTCAGCGGGATGGCCCCAGCTTCCCGGCTGATGAGAAGAGTAAAAGAAAGACCTCATACGGAGGCAGCCTGCACATAGCTGGGCGTGGAAGGACGGCCTCTTGGACAGCACAGGTGCTGTCCACGGGCAGGTGCTGTCCATGGGCTTCTCCTTCACCTGCACTCCAACAGCCAGAGCCACTCTCTGGCTCTAGCCAATCTCATGCAAGGAGTCAGCTTTGCTCCTGAGAGCCTAAAATGTACAGCGCTATTGTAAACACTTTCCCTTGTGCACTGAGGAGAAACCGTAAGAGGCATCCGGTGGTACTTGTTTTCCTCTGACTGCATTCTGAGGCAGTCCCGTTCGCCCCAGCAGACACCCAAACTGTTGGGGCCAGCGTGGCAGGAGGACATAGCTACAGCTCTCTGATAAAGTCAAATTCCTTTCCTGGTACTTAATATTTCTTTTTCCTCAGGCTGTTTTTGGTACTTTTTCTTTATTTTGATATTCAGCAGTTTGACTCTCTAGGTGTGTTTGTCTTTTTATTTATCCTACTTGGGGTTATATGGAATTATTGGGTCCATGAGTTGATTATTTCATTAGTTTAGGAAAATTTTCAGCCAGTATCTCTACAAATATTTTTCTCTGCCTGATCTTCTTTCTTTTCCCCTTCAAGAACTCCCATTACACATATGTTAGATATTGTCCCATGGATCTTGAATAATATTCTTTTTTTCCCCACACTTTTTTTTCTTTGTGTTTAAGTCTGGATCATTTTTACTGATTTGTTTTCAAGTTTATTGATTATTTCTTCTGATAAATCCATTCTGCTAATAAGCTTATTTAAAAATCCTCCTTTCCTGATATTATAATTTTGATTATAATTTCACTAATGAAATTCTCCATCCATTCATGCATGCTGTCCACCTTTTCCACTAGATTCCTTAACATATTCATTAGTTACTTTAAGGTTTCTGTTAGCTAATTCCAACGTCTAAGCTATCTCTGAGTCTGGTTCTATGACTTTTTTCCTTTGATGGTAGGTCGTACTTCTTTCCTTTTTCATGTGTCTTGTAATTTTTCATTAATGCTGCACATTGTGAATAAAAGAACAGTAGAGACAGATGAATAAGTTTTGTGCCCAGAAAAGAGCCTTTTCATTTTCCAGGCTATTGGATTGTGGGTTTGAGTCCATCCAGTCCATGGTTATGGAACGTTTGGCCTTTGTTCTTGCATTAGTTTCACTCATTGCACCATAGTGCAGTCTTTCTCAGGAATGACTCACAGGCCCTTCTGATGTTATTTTTTAAATCTCTAGATAATTAATAATAATATTTCTTGATGGCCAATGATCTTTACCCCACATTTACTCATTTAATAAACAATACATGATTGTAACAAAACAATTATGTATTTGATTTGTATCCCTTCTCATCTCTGCTCCACTTTGGTAAAAGGGTCTAGTGGGAAATGAATAGTCAGCAGAAAGGAGAAAAAAATCTAATGCTCTGAATGATCTGTCCCCTGTATATCTAAAGGTGAGGTAGTCTAGCTGAGGAGATAAGACCTGAATTAACCTATACAGGTAACTAAAACAGTAGGCATTGCAAAGCAATACGGGCAGTACATGTTTGGGAATGAATTCCAATTGAAAAAGCATTGTCTGTGGACCAACGCTGCAAAATGTTGTGCTACAGGTGCTGAGGATATAAAAGCAAAAGTCCTATGGTCAGGAGTAGCTGGAGAAGGTTTTACAAAGGCCATAAAACTTTTAAAGATCATATACCCAAAGCTTTCCAAACTCTGATTGAAATTTCCTATACTGATTTGTGAAAATCCAGCTTCCTAGGCACCGTATCTGATATTCTGATTCAGTAGGTCTGGCTTGGGCCCAGGAGCATTTTTAAGTGTCCCAGATGATTCTGGAACACAGAACGACTGAACCAAACTCCCCATTTTACAATAAGCCCAGAGAAGGGGATTAATCTGCACATGGTCACATAGCTTGAATGGCAGCAAAGCCAGAGCTCAAACCGCATAATGATAACAACTACTATGCATCAAGTGCTTTCTATGTGCCAGGCACTGTCTTACACACTTTATATACATTATCACATTTAATCCTCATAACAACCCTATGGGATAGCCACCATTATCATCAGCTCCATTTTAAAGAACTCTTAGAAACCAAGGCTTAGAAAGGTTATATTTTTGCCTAAGGTTACTTAGCAAATAAATGGCAGAGCTCAGAGTTAAACTCCAAATCCCAGGCCTTTAATCATCACACACATTGACTCTCAGATTTTTGCCTAACACTTGCATTGAACTTGAACTTAAGGTGGGGTCCAGGGGTGGGGAAGATCAGCTGCATAGCTGTAGGTCTCCTAATAAAGGATTCTAAACTGAAGGTGATGTGTGTTAGTATGTTTGCTTTGTCTGGGGAGAGGATGGATAGCTATTTCCAGATTCTGGAAGGGGGTCTTCTCTGAAGCCCATCCTATTGCCAACCCATCCTATTGCCAACCAAGCAGCTTCCTCTCCCCAGTGCAAGTTTCAATTGGGAGTTTGGCACCAGCCTCGGGTGATTTAATGGGATATGATGGGCCTCTTATCCTCAAGCCAGAATTTCACAAGCACTCATCTTCTGGGAGATGATTACTTTCTTTCTGCCTTCTATTTCCAAGGAAGGTCTCTGTGTATTGTAGAAAAGAATCTGAGCTAAGGGCACAAAGCTTTCACTGACTGTTCACGCCTCCCTCCTCATACACCTGCTCTCCTAACACACAGAGGGACATAAGCTCCCTAAGGAACCATTTGTTTGGTGAACTTTTTAAAAGAAAATTTAACCCCATAATATTTTTAGAGAAAAGTGTTTCTACTTTCAGGCATTTATAAACCCATCCGAATAAACAAATAAGTGAGAGTCAGCTGCCCAGTAACTAGAACTCTGCCAAGGCCATCCTCTCCGTACTGTGCGGACCCAAAGGCTGCATTCCTGGTTGCTGTCACAGCTGGGTCAGTGCAGGTGAGGGGCGAGGGGTTTGGGCTGGGTTTGAGCCCTGTCTACACTGTTCCCCTGATGTGTGATAATGGGCCAGATATTGTGTATGAGCCAGATGCCAGCTTCTCCCAGCCACGATTTTCTTGTCTGTAGTACAGAGATGCCCTCATGAGGTTGCTGGGTAGATGAGATGGAGTCTAGCCTGGACTAGGTGATCAATCAATGACAGCAATTATTACCATCATCTAAGGGTAATCTTGGGCTATCAGACTTGAATTCATTTGCTCACCAACTTCTAAATCTTTCTCCCTCCCAAACAAAGTGCTTTATGAGTAGCAAGAAGCCAAGGAGCACAGCTGGGGCGGGTTGTGCCCACCTGGGGTTTATTTCTCATGAATGGGTCCAAAGTGAGTGCATCACGGCATGGGAGAAAGGCGAGGACTTTGTTGGGCCCACCCAAGTGAAAACCTGAGCTGCAGAGAGGTTAGGTCATTCGTATGAGGTCCTGACTAGCCAGGGGTGGTGCTGGGATTCAAATCACAGTCCATGTCACTTTCCGAGCCCCTGCGGTGAAGCTCAGTGGTGGGACGGGAGCAGGAGAGACGTGCGCCTTCCAGGTGTGGAACAGCTCGAGCAGAGGCGTAGAAAGAGGAGCGAATGGGAGTTCACGTGAGACCCTGCCGGCTTGGAGAAGGGACAGGAAGGCAGAGCCTGGAACGAGTTAGGCAGTTTGGGTTCTAGTCCCTGCCCCGCTGCACTCTAGCTGTGTGAACATGGAGAAGTTTCGCAGCCTCTCCAAGCTCTAGTTCACGAATCGTAAAGTGGGACCTACCTTTTTAAGAGGTACACAAGGAAAGAGTGGGTGAGAGTCTGGCACACTGCAAGCTCCCGCCCGGGGGAGCGGCTCTTAGCCCGCTCTCATGCAGAGGAACAGCAGCTGCTCCGCCCTCTCTCAGGCAGGAGGGTGGGAGCCTCCGGGGTCCTGCGGCCTGCTTCAAGCCTCACTCTGTTCCCGCAGGGTGGGAGAATGTGTATGGCTTTGACATGACCTGCATCCGGGACGTTGCCATGAAGGAGCCCCTGGTGGATATCGTGGATCCAAAGCAAGTGGTGACCAATGCCTGTTTAATAAAGGTCTGGAGACTCACCCTGGTCGGGCCTGGGCGTGCCGGGAACCCAGCTGTGCCACCTTGGATGGCCAGGCTGGGGGTCTGGAGTCTAGGGAGGCAAGGCCGTCTTGGCCAGAGCCTGTGCTGCTCCATGGTGACAGGTCAAGAGCTGGCGCTGCCACTGGGCAGAGCTGCTGAGAGAACGACTCCACAGTGGCACAGCTGAGGGCAGGGGGCCCGGAGCAGGGCCGCTGGTGGGGTGAGGGGGGTGGAGGGGCGGGGGGCATTGGAGGAGAAAACACCTGCAGGCAGAAGGGTGTGCTCAGGCTTGGGGAAGCTGGTGTGTTCCGAGGTCACTGTCCCTCTTAGGAAAGAAATCGCATCCCTCAGTATGCTGTGTGATCACCCATCATCGCACTCCCGCCTCCAAGCACGCACCTGACCCCACCCCCCGAGTGTCCCTGTTTGCATGGGCTCTAAACACCTTTTCTCCCAAGGATTTCTTCTGTGAAGGTGACAGACGGCCGGTCAGCAGCCTCGACACACTGCCCCCTGACGCATTCTTACCATTAAACATTCGAGCACGCCCAGTTAGACAGATAAGGCACAGTTCCCCGCCCAACGCGTCCTCTGCAGACAGAGCCCCGTTCATGGTCGATTGTTCCTTCCAGTCCCCTTTCTATGCATTTGCATAACACATGCTAATGTGTTATGTCGAACCATATAAAACTACTGCTATTTGATCTTTTTTTCAATGTAGAAAGACATCAATGTCATATGGTTCAAGCTAATTTTTTAATTTAAAAATGTGGGCTCATTATGTAAGTATTCATCAGCCCACCCACCTCTCATCCTGCCAAAACATATTTGCCTACTCTGGTCCTTTACAGATCACTTTTTCCCCAGAAGTACAGGGGCAGGGGGCTGGAGTGTTTACAGTAGGATAAAGGGGGGAGAGCCCAGGGCCACCAGGGATGAGGGGAAATTCCTGAAAGACTGATGCAAACTGCTGCTTTGCTCATGTGAGACCCATCCGGCCCTGGACAAAGCCTTGCTAAGAAGAACTGCAGCCACTGGCCCAGAGCATCAGTGTGGCATCTAGAAGGGACCTCGCAGGGCAACTCAACTAGACGAATCTCACAGAGGTCTCATCAGACGTTGCCCCCTTTGGTGACATCCTGCCTAGGAGGCTTGGCTTTGAGTCTGAGCCGCAGACTCCTGGTTCTCAAGGTTCTTACCGCCTTATTCAGCCTGTCCTGGGTCCAGGCAGGATGGGTTTCTTCCTACCAGCCCTCTATCCAAAGCCTCTCCCTCCTGCTATCCCAAATGACAGGAAGGAAAGTGAACCCCTCAACGAGAATCTCACCCACAGTGCAAAACGCTTTGGTAAAAATTGTAAAATAGGTAGAAGTCTGGCCGGTGCAATCGAATTTGCAGAAATGACACATTACAGTGATGTAGATCACTAGACATCTGAGGGTAATGGCTTCCACTTGGGGGTAAAATTCCTTCAGTGTTCTTGGACTCCAGGTCACTTTCTGCCCTGACCCCAGCCCCAATTTGCAGGTATAGCCATTGTGCTTCTTTTTGTCTATACTGCTGGACTGTCAGGGACTGGCCTGGCTCTATCCACCCAGGTCACACTGGTCTTCTTCTCCCCACTTCCAGACAGGAGCCGGCAGGGGCCTTTCCCTGGCCATACCTGGGTGCATCGGGGGTGAAGCAGTCAGGCTTATCATGGAGGGGCGGGGGGGGTGTATACGCCCCTCCTTATGAGAACTCCCAAGGGCTTTGCTTATGTCTCCAGGCAAGCAATCTGTGCTGAAGGCCTGCCCCTCCTGTGCCCGTACCTTTCTCCTTGCCGTGCTTCTGAGAGGGTGAGATTGTCTGGCTTTGCTTCTGCAGCCAGGAGAGCCTTCCCAGCAGCTCTCGCGCTAATGTGCTCAGCAGTGTCTTGCCGAGCCTGTTGGGAAAACACTTGCCCTTCTTCACACACTTAATTGCTATTTTCATTGCTATTAACGTTGCAGAGTGTGACACTTTATTATAATTAAGACTCTGTTTTGACCAGACTTCTGCTCAGAGACATCCATTTGTAACATTATTTAGTGGTGGGGATGGCAGCGACCAGGGGCTCTTCTGAGTAATGTGTGCAGGCAGCAGCAGAGCCCTCTGCTCCGTGTGGGTCACCTGAGGCCAAGCCAGTAGGTCTCCTGGAGGTCTTGGAGCTGCTGCTGCAGCAGAAAGAAGCCTTCCAGAAAAGGGGTCTGGCCTCTGGGGCATCAGGATAGCTGGGGCTGATCTGTAGACTTTGGGTCTGGGACGTGGGGAGCTGAGCCCAGAGGGCCTTTGTGTCTCCAAAGCCCAGCCACAGCTGATCCCACCCTCACAGATGGCCCTGGACCCCCACTCCAAAAGACCAGCTGCCTCTATTGTTGCATTATAATGTATGGCTTTTGTTTGGTCAGAGGAGCCTATTAATATGCAAATATCTCAAAGACCTACTGAACACTGTCAGCCAACACATGAGTTGTTAGCTGACACTTGGTTGATGGACATCTGAGAGCGAGACCCTCTAAAAATGGAATTCCTGCTCGATGGGGCGGGTGGGTGTGTTGTGCACACCTGTGCTGGAAGTGGCAAAGAAGCGAGGGCAGAGGTAGAAGCAGAAAGTAACCAGGTCCAGATGTCAGGCCACTGGGAGTCACTGAAGATCCAGGGAGTGACATAGTCTGGATGAATCTTACAGAGATTAGTCAGGTGGTGGTTGTGGAGGAAAGGCCTGGGGAGAGACGTGAATCTGCGAGCAGGTGGACCTGCTCTGAGGTGCCGATGAGTCAGACACGCACCGCCTGGTATCGGGCGCCGTGTTGCACACCGAGAGCACGCAACTAGGGACGCGGGGCAGCTTTCGCCCTGTGGGGCTGCAGTCTAACTGCGGGGACAGCCTGACAGCAGGGGCCCAGTCAGGAGGGTGAGGACCTGGAGTGGTCAGCCTCACGCCCGGCTCTGAGAGTGGCAGAACCCCCAGAGAAGGGCCAGGATGATGACAGGCCAGAAATCGTGACTCACGAGAAGCCAATGAAAGGCCGGAGGCAGTTCACACTGGAGAAGAAAAGGTTTAGGGGACCAGCGTGAGCTGGAACGGACATCCGGCTGCGTCTGTGGTGGAAGTGACAGGGGGATGGGCGTGGGCTCTTCCATTAGTTCTGAAGAAGGACCTAGACTGGAGATGCCAGCACATGGACGAGCTGCCGGTGGAGTGAATCCGCCATCCCAGAAGCTGCTCAGCAAGCGGGCGCTAGCTGGCCATTACGGGGCGTTCTGGCCTTGGGTAAAAGGCTCGACGAGAGGGGAATCTGATAATCCCATCAAATTCTGCATGCTTCACCAAGGCTGCTCAGCGTTCGACCAGTTCCCGTTTCCCGTCTTTGGCTCTAGAAACACAGCATACCTGGCATTTGAAAGTGGCCTCACTGAGGGGCTCCCACGGTCCCCTAAACCTTCAACCCCACCCTCTTCCCAACCAGCAGTCAGAGCTTCCGCATCCCTGGAGCACGTGGCGGCCGCTGACCCCAGGCCCCGCAGGACTCTGATCTGACGGCTGCCTTGACCACTCCTCCTGCGTGTGCCCTGTGGAATCAGGACTTCTCTTGAAGGCCCCAGGACACTTCCTGTCTGCTTTTCCTTTGTTTGCCCTAGGACTACATAGAGATGAAGGCCGTCGCTGCACTGCCCCGTTGTCTCTCCGCAGGTCTCGTTTCCCTGCCCTCACGTCCCTCCTCCTAACTCCTCCTGACGTTGCCCGACTTCCAAGTCTCCCGAGGACCCTCTGGGACCATCCAGGCACACGAGCATCTGTCTGGCTCTTGCAGAGTTTTCAGGACAGAGGTCCTTGCTGCACAACCCTGACAAGTGGGAAGTTCTTCTGGGGCCTCCCTGGAACCCAGGGGATGTCTCGCGGGAGCCGCAGACAGCAGGCTGACGTTCTCCCCGCAGACAGGAGCAGCGCGTTGCAGTTACACTTGCTCCCTGTGCAGGACTGGCTCGCAGCCACTTCCCAGCTGGAATTGTTAGTTATTAGTTCTTTATCTCCCACATCCCCCAGCCAGAACTGAAAATTCTCACTCGTATTTTCCCCTCTCGTTTATTTTTAAGAACTGTCCAGCCCTGGCACAAATGGCCAGCAGGACGGCCCTCAGCTCAGTCTGTGACTCTGTGGCCTCAGGCCCTTACCCCTGAGGTAGTGCTTGAGCCTCCTATTTCTGGGAACTTAAATGTCAAAAGAAAAACAACAACAAAAAACAAGCAAAGGAAAAGAGTAGTCTGGTTCATTCAAATCACTGACAAGAGCAGGTGGCAGTTTGATCGGGAGGTCTGCGTCCCTGAGTCTGCCCCAGGGACGTCAATGCTGGCCGTCCGCGGACGACACTTGGAGGACCACTAGGCTAGACCAAGGCCGCCATGCTCACGGGCCGCCCTGGGGCCGTTCCCGCCGGGCTGGGGAGCTAAGGAGCACATCCCCTAAGCAACCCCCCTCTTCTCTTCCCTTCCCACCCTTCAGCCCCCAGCCCTGGCAGATTTACCTTCCTAATTCTGTTCCCCTCTGGTTTGGATCCAGATCCATTTGCACCATTGTCTGAACATACTCCACCCTAGAGGGGATGAAGGAGGTGATGGGGGGCAGTGTGTAGGCCTGGGAAGGCACCCCAAGCTCAGTGATATCCCCGGAGAGCCTACCGGCCACAGTCTCTCCCAGGCCCGGCCCTCGAGAGGCACTGAGTCCCGCACTCTCTCTTCCCGGCCGCAGGAGGTGGACATTTACACGGTGAAGACGGAGGAGCTGTCGTTCACATCGGCCTTCTGCCTGCAGATACAGCGCAACGACTACGTGCACGCCCTGGTCACCTATTTCAATATTGAATTTACCAAGTGCCACAAGAAGATGGGGTTTTCCACAGGTGAGCTGGTGGGGTTCCCGGAGCTCCCCCTGGCCTGTCTTGGGGCTTTGTGGAAGCTGGCAGCGGCCGGTCTCGCCTTGGGAGAAGGTGCCAGGGCCCTCGTCTGACAGCTCGCCAGCCTCCTCCGCTGTGAGGAAGCGCACGGCTGAGGGCGGGGCGAGGGAGGGCGGCGGGCCGCGGAGGTGAGGAGGGAGTTGAGTGAGTCTTCTGTCCGTGGCACGCCTCCCCACAGGGCTCGCCTCTCGGAGCCAGTCTGGTCTCTGGGTTTCTTCCTTCCACCCGCCCCCTTCATTAAGTCCCTGACGGTTCCCCAGAGACCAGCTCCCAGCTCCTGGCTCTGTGCCCAGGTGCCTCGCGGCAGCCGCTAAGCCCAAGCCTGGCCAACGGCGGCTCCGTGAGCCGGCCCGGCCCGCCTGTGCAGCCTCGTCCCTCGCCGCGCTCCTGGCTGGGCCTGCCCCACCCCGCCCGTGGCTGCTGCCCCACGCCCAGCCCGGCTACCCCGGGTCCTTGCAGGCCCCTGAGCCCAGTCTCTGGGCCACGGTTCCGCACACAGCAGCCCGTGTCCACCCAGGAGCACCACGGGGCAGCGGGGCAGCGACTCCTCTCATTCCCTTGCTGCTCTGTCCGTCCGCTAGGGCTGCCAGAGCAGAGTGCCACAGGCCCGGCGCCTTGACAACGGAAATTTGTTTTCTCGCCGTCCTGGAGGCCAGAGACCAAGATCAAGGTGTTGGCAGATTAGGTTTCTCCTGAGGCCTCTCTCCTTGGCTTGCAGATGGCCACCTTCTCGCCGTGCCCTCACGTGCCTTCCCCTGTGCTCTCGTGCCCGGCGTCTCTCCACGAGCCCTAATCTCCTCCTCCTAAGAGGACGCCAGTCAGACCTGCTTCAGCTTAATCCCTCTTGTAAGGCCCTATCTCCAAATACAGTCACCTCGCGGGGGGCTGGGGATTAGGGCTTCAACACGAATCTGGGGACACAATTCCTCACCTGGCCAGCACCAGACAAGGCTCCGTCTCTCAGCTGAGCCCTCTTCCCTCCCAGGTCAAGGTTGGGGTCCTTCTCAGGGCTCACTCACATCCTGTGCACGTGTCTGTCATGGTGCTGTTTAAAGTGACATATGCACAATGACAAGAAGAAGTCAGCACAACATGGTATAAAAAAGTCAAGGAGGAAATTCTCTCCCCAGTCCATCCCAGTCGCACTTCTCAGAGATAAGTATTAATATTGGTAGTAATTTCTTTTGTATTCTTCCAGAAAATTTCAGTGGGTACACAAGCACATACATATCCATACACGACTCTTTTCTCTTTTTCTTGGAATAATTATAGACTCACAAGAAGTTGCAAAAATAGTATACAGAGTTCCATGAACCTTTTGCCCAGCTTTCCCCATTGGTGGCATCTTATATAATTGTAATACAATATCAAAACTACACCTTTTAGAAAACATAGTTTGGATAGTGCTATCCACACTGCCCTCTGCTACCTTTTCTTTATTTAATAACATGTCGTAGAGACACTGCCACAGCATTACGGAGAGACCTACTTTCTTTTTTTTAAACAACTGCACAGGATTCCGGTGCCGTCACGTACCCAGCGTTTCCACTCTTTTTAGCAGCTACAGCTTTCTCCATGAGTAGGGATCCCACCTCGTTAACGTCCGCATTCCTGGCTTCCAAACCAGACTTCTAAACAAGCCACTGTGGAACAAGTACACGGAGGTGTGGCGCCGCCCTTGGGAATGGAGGATATAGTTCTTCCCTTCCTGAAGCCTTGACGGCAATGCTGGCCTTTTAATGTGTGGACAGAGGGGCACGACACTTACCTCATCCCTCACCTAAAGGCCCTTTCCAGAGCCAGCGTCCCTGGCCACTAAGGCCACGGTCACCTGGTCTGTATTGGCCAGGCCAATGCAGGTGCCTCCCCGCCCCGGGCAGGACCTGAGAGCCCGGTCTGGGCGGCTGTCGGCTGCTGGCCTCCTTACAGGGCCGTGGGCGAGCTCCTCTTCCCGTGGGCAGGAGCGGCCAGGAGGGGGAGATTCCACTTTGACCTTGAAGGATGGGTAAGCCCCAGAGATGGTGAGTGTTGGGGTAGCGAGGGAGCAGAGGAGGGGCCTGCTCGACCAGAAGCTGGGGATGGAGCCACAGGCCTACCCCAGGGCTGGCCCCGCTGCAGACAATGAAGAAGTCAGTGGGCAAGGGTGCTCTGGACAAAGTTTCGGGTTTCCAAAGCCTGGGCTCCGCACCGTAGCTCTCAGCCACAGGGTTTCTTTTCTTTGAGATGATCTATCTCCAGTCCCCAAAGCCAAGCAGACAGCCTGCTGCAGCCATGTCTGGAGGTGGCGCCCTGGCTCTCTGGTGGCAGGGACGATGTTCCTGATGGCCCCAGGTAGGGGAGGCTTGGTTAAGTTCAAGTCCAGAACCAAAACGTGTGCTCTGGGCTGCCTGAGAAATGGCACTGAGGGTCTGCCCTCAGTGTCGGCATCTCTAGCCCAGGGTTGAACTTGTGTCCTTCCTTGTCTTTGGCCACTGTTTCCCCCACCCCACCCCTGCTGCCACAGTCCCACACAGCTCAGACACCACAGGGACACATCCGGGTGAACCTGCTCCCTGCATTTTGGCAGTTATGTGTTATGTCCCATGCCCCTTTGCACAGAATTTGCAAACTTAGGCTCTGAAAGGACATTTGGAGCTCCTGCAGCCCCCTGCTCTGTGCCTGGGTGCAGCGGTTCTCCTGACCAGCGCAGCGACCTCACCTGGGAGCTTGTTAGCGTTGCAGGTTTGGGGGCCTCACCCCACACCTACGAAATCAGAACCTCTGGGGGTGGCGCCCAGCACTCTGTGTCTTAACAAGACCTCCAGGTGACTGTGATGCATACCACTGCCCTCATGCAAGACTGCCCCGGGCCAGAGGGTTGAGAATTTGACCAATGCTGACTCCCTTCTGGAAAGGCAATTCCGTTCCTCACTGAACACCCTCTGGTTGCACCAGGACTCTGCGCCTTCTGGCTGAGGAGCTGCCTCTTGCCTGCAGCACTCCCCTGCAGGTAGGCAGGGCTGGGAGAGTGTCAGCCTGGGGCTTTGTTTCCAGCCAGTAGCTGACCACATTGCTGGTTCAACTGGGTTTGGCAGTTGGCTATGCTGACAGTCTACACTGACTACCAACAGAGTAATTGTTTTTATGCATCTTGGATGCACTAAGATTAATCTGAATGCTTGGTTCATGACATACTGTCATCATTGAACCATGCATGGTTTACATTTTACTTATTTATATATTAATATAATGGATATCCATGAACTAACCACCTAATTCAAAAACTAGAGTGTAAATAATCATTAACTAGAATGTAAATAGCAACCAGAAATAAATTTATTATATTACTATTGGAATATAAATACATTAGTTAATATTAAAAATAAAGTGTTATTAATTAGAATATAAATATTAACTAGAACTACATTGCTAATAAATGTAATGCGATTATAATTAATAAATGTAAATTAATTCATATCCATATAGTAAATCCCCATGAGCCCACACCTAACTCAATGACTAAAATACCAATACCTCTGCACCCACCTGGGTGCTCCACCACACCCCATCCCCACATATCACCTCTAGATGAACATTGCCCCGAATTTTCTGTTTCTTATTTCCTCACTATTTTTGAAAGTTTTATCACATGTATATGTGTGTCTAAACTAGGTATTGCTTGGTCTCAGCTGCTTTTGAACTTTCTGCAAGGTGTAGTCTACTGTATGTGGCCCCTCCCCATTGACCCTCAACCGAGTCTTCTGTCCTAACCCAGCCACAGCTGGCTCTGGGGTCTGCTGGAAAGCACACCCCACACGAGTGCAGCTTGAAGATGATCCCTGTCAATGGCTCTGACTTCCCTGCAGCTCCAGGCAGAAGCTGCCACATAAAGGCACAGACACCCAGGGTTCCAGGGTGTGCCAGCCAGTGGGCACAGCTGCCCCCACACCTTGGACACATCCTCAGTGGGGTGGGGGTATAAAGTGGGAACTGGGTCCCTGGAGTTGCTGCTGAATGCAGGAAAGCCAGTGAGTGGAAGGCAGGAGCCCTGGTAGGAGCAGGACTAGGTGCAAGTCCTAGTTTTTCTGGGCATCAGCAGGTTGTGTGACCAGACATTACAGACAACCTTGAGCAAGTCACTTTCTCGGCCTTGGGCTTGGGCAGTCCCTCTTTAGCTTTGCTCTCCCGTGACATCCAGTCATTTTCTCAGGTTAAAGAAACTTCTTGGTGTCTAGTGTTCAATTCTCCAAAAAGCTTGTGGACACCCTAGGGAATATAATTCTAAATTTATAGCTAGAAAAATTATATCCCAGAAAGAGCTGCCAGGCATTTAGCCGTTGGGAAATGAAACAGGAAGCAGGATTCCATTCCCTTTCCAAAGCGCCAGGAAAAATGGTCCTGGGAGAGGCCCCGCCCTCCCACAGCTCCCCGTGCTCCCCAGTCCTCCCACAGCTCCCCGTGCTCCCCCGCCCTCCCACAGCTCCCCGTGCTCCCCAGCCCTCCCACAGCTCCCCGTGCTCCCCAGCCCTCCCACAGCTCCCTGTGCTCCCCAGCCCTCCCACAGCTCCCTGTGCTCCCCCACCCTCCCACAGCTCCCTGTGCTCCCCCGCCCTCCCACAGCTCCCCGTGCTCCCCTGCCCTCCCACAGCTCCCTGTGCTCCCCAGCCCTCCCACAGCTCTCTGTGCTCCCCAGCCCGTCCTCGGTCATGGCTCGCACTGCACCTTGTCACTATGTACCTGTGTGTCTCTTCACAGTGGCTGTAGGATCCGGGATGGGGAGCACAAAGCAATGTTCATCTTGGTCCCTGTTCCCCAATTTCAGAACCATGCATAGCACATGACAGGCATTCTAAATAGAAGTGTGTTGGATGAATGGATGGATGGATGGATGGATGGATGGATGGATGGATGCACCTACACTTGGAATGCTGTGGCAGTACTGGTCATGCTCACTTCCAAATATGGAGCAGAAGCTATCCATACTCTAGAGCCAGCAGCGGCGCTGTGAGTGGGAGGGGGCTTGAGGAGGCAGGCAGGGGAGGCAGGCGTGGTGGGGGCAGGAAGCCTTTGCACGACAGGGACAGCTAAGAGCCCGCTGGACAGTCTTGATGGTCAGATTGGGCAGAGGAAGGAAAGACTTTTTCACTGACAAAGAAGACTCTGGATGCTGTCCATAGCCCTTGGGCACAGGAATGTTCCAGAAGCTTCCCCAGGACATTATAGACCACTAGAGTACCTTTGCAGGCCAGAGCCATAGATTATTGATAAATAAAACCATACACCACTTTATATTAACATAATGACTAAAGGACTTTCTGATGCAGTGGTCTAGTGATACCCTAACATGGACGCAGTGTGTTACAGGTGGGGTGACCACACAATTTATCTTTCCATTAGGGACACTTCAGTGAGAGGGGGAGCTATTGGCAATCACACCAGGGAGGCAGATGTGAACTGGAACTGTCCCAGGCACGTCAGGAGGTCCGGTCACCCTGCGTGTCTGATAGGCTCACCCCTTCATCTCATCTCATCCTCAAAATACCTCAGGAGATAAACGCCATGACCCATATTCTACGGAGCGAGAAATGAGCCCCGGGTCACAGCACAGGTGGAGAGTGGACACTGGGCCTGTGGCTGCCTGTTTAAGTGTCTTTCCCACGATACCTGCCCAGGGGTGTCGATTCCAGCAGCGGCTGTGCGTCTGCATCGCCTGGGGAGACTGTAAGTCCTGGCAGGCCTGTCCCTTCCCCACGCCCCGCAATTACTGAATTCAACTCTCTTGAAGTAGAGTCAAGACGCTGGACTTTGATCCATTCTCCTGGGCACTTTGGTGGAGAACTAGGATTGAGAAAACTGGTTTAGACAATGAGTTCACGGCTAATGGACCCATCATGGAAATGAGACGTTTGCGGAAATTCTTAACCTTTTGATGTTGATGTCAAGGAAAAAAATCGTTGTCCTTCAACTGAAAGCAGAATCCTGGGCCAGCCAATTTGAGCCAGTGAGGCCTCTGGGGTTCTCTTAGGGCACTTGATTAGGTGACAGACCGGGCTGCTTGCGTCCCTTGCCCGAAGGTCTGCAGGAAAGGAGAGATACCTGTCTGAGCTGTGCGGGTGGCCGCGGGGGCGGAGTGGTGTCAGGCATACACCGCATTCCCCCGCACAACTGGAAACTGTCTCTTGACAGTTTTTAGAGGTAGTTGGCAGGGAGGGAGTTGGGAGCAGGCGGACCTTGCCCGCAGACGGCAGCACGCCTGGGAGGCCAGGGAGGCTGGGTGTGTTGGGGGCCCAGAGTCTGAACGGCACATGCACGTCCTCCTTCCCGTCCCAGTGTGCAGGCCGCGCCTTCTCCCCATGACCTGGAGCTTGCATTGATTTCCCAAATGCACACATTGAAGGTACTCGAGTCTCTGTCCAAACCACTGACATTTGATCAGGCTGGTTTGTTGCAAAGGGCAGAGAAAGACAGACTCTTCACCAGCATTAAAATAGATCTTGGGGTTTTGAAAGATCTCAGAGGTCACCTGGTCTCTAGAGTTGTCGCATGATAAACTTCCAGTCGGTGGTATGGGGACACCAACAAAGGTGAACCTCAGGTGGCTCATGATTGTGAGGCAGCCCTTATTCTTCCTGGTGAATTAAAAATCTGCCTTCTAGTAGTCCCTAGTGACAAGCCTTTGTTCTGCCCCTAAAGCTATATATAAGGCCACATATCAGTCTTTCCCTGTGGCAGGTTGGAAGTGTTTGAAAGGCCTTTATCATCTTCTCCCCAGTCTTCTCCTCTCTAGCACTGGCCCCAAGCACGGGGAAACCCTGGTGGGGGAAGGTGAGAGCCCTAACCAAGAGGAACCTGGTATAAGGGGTTCTTCTCCAACCCATAGATTCCGAAGGTGCGATGTAATTGGACATCTATGGGTATGCTGGGGCGTCACGAGATGTCTGCTCTTTGGGATCTTGCTGTCACTCATGTATTCAATACTTATAGAGCTACCAGGCACGGGGACTGCAGCAGTGGGCAAGGCTGGCATGGCCTGCACTCACCGCGATTGCAGGCCCGCGGGGGACCGCTCAGGCAGGGGAAAGGCATTACGTTGTGGGGTGGTGCACACCGTGGTAGCAGCTCAGGGTGCCATGGGAGCCCTCAGTCCAGCTTTGAGTGGTCAGGCGAGGCTTCTCAGAGGAAGGACGAGGAAGAGAAAGGCTGGTGCGGATGATGGCCCACAATGCAGGACCCCTCGCTCAGTAGGAGACCATGTCTCGTGCCAAGAGGCGGTGGCTGAGATGCAATGGAAAGGACAGGGGAGGGGCAAGCATCACTGTGGCTTTGAACTCTCAAGCCACAAGCAAGCTGTGGACCCGCGCTGGGGCTGCAGAACAAGAATATCCCTGGTTTTTCCTGGCCCAGTTAGGAAGGCACAGCTGATATCCCACAGTAGGCCCGGGCCAGGTGCGGGGTGCAGCTCCGGCACAGAGAAGCGGGCAGGGAATCTATTTGTGGGGCTGTGGAGTGAGGACCTGCAACATCAGTGGAACTGCGGAAACTGGTTTAGCTGTGGGGTTTGCATAAATGATGTCATTCAAGGGGAGATAGAGGATCTACTCTACAAATCTCTCCCCCACACTGTCTGCAAGTCTTCTCTCTGTTGAACTAATGAAAAACAGTCACATTTTGAGATTCATTCGTGCTAATGAGTGTAGCTGGTGGAGGGCACTCACCACCCACCCCGTGGTATAAAACTGTAATGCCGGCTGGCTTCCCTCTCACCCCAGCGCAGGTCAGCAGTCAGTGGCAAGGGCCCGGGACGTGACGGGAGGGGAGGAGAGGCCACTGGGGCTGAGCCAGAGGTCTGGTCTGGGCTGGGAGCAGGCTACAAGGACTGGGCGCCTGACCCACCACGGTGCTGGGTGGGGTGGGTGCAGAGTCCCACAGGAAGTCCAGCCACTTGTAGGCAGGGTCGTGGCCTCTGCCTTCTGGAAACATCTCTGACTCTTTCTCCCCCTCCCCTGTCCTGTACCTCCTCAGCCCCTGACGCCCCCTACACCCACTGGAAGCAGACCGTCTTCTACTTGGAAGATTACCTCACTGTCCGGAGGGGGGAGGAAATCTACGGGACCATATCCATGAAGCCAAATGCCAAAAACGTGGTGAGTGCTGAGGCCACGCCTCTGTGGCCAGGCTCTCAGAGGAGAAGGGACCCACAGAGCAGCCCCAGGGAAGCCCTGGGCCCCGCCGGTGCGCCTGGGTGTCCTGTGCAGTCAGTCACAGGAGTTACTGAGGGAGGCGCTGGGAGGAGCCACGCTGGGATGTGACCAG